TTGAATGAAATTCAGAAATTCCATTATTTGAAATCTGCAGTGAAGAGTGAAGCGGCGGAAACAATAGCTTCTTTGGAAATTTCGGAGGTCCATTATAATGACGCTTGGCTTAGATTAAAGGACAGATACGACAATGAGCGCATTGCGGTGCAAGAACACATCAAGGCGATATTCGAGCTACCTGCACTGAGAAGAGAAAACAGTGCGACCTTGCGAAGTATTTTAGATGGTATATTAAAGCATACAAGAGCGTTAACTGCCTTAGGACGTCTTACAAGCCAATGGGACGACTTGTTAATAATAACTAGCAAGTTAGATTTTGCAACCATGAAAGAATGGGAAACTAGTATCGAAGTATGACAAATGCCGACCTAACCTTTCGGAAGTTAATTGATTTTCTTACCCGAAAGTGCCAAATGTTAGAAGCAGTAGCAAGGAGAAGCCCATCCACGCAGCCCAGTACTACTTCGCGTCAAATCAGCAAAGGAAAGTCAACGACGTCTCATGCCGCGATGACGAGCGTTAGATGTATGTATTGTAACGGTGACCACCAGATATACCAATGCAAATCTTTCAAGGAACTTTCCACCGCGGAACGTTTAAAGAATGTGAAAACTAAGAAACTATGCTTAAAGGGTAAGCATATTGCCAAAGATTGTTTAGCTAGCGGATGCAAAAAATGTTCGAAAAAACACAGTACCTTATTACACGAGGATCGCGAGTCATTAAAGGAAAGGAACGATGAGATAGTAGATCAAAACGTAAGTCAAGAAGTTAGCTCGAACAAAACGGTTAATACATTCTGTACATACTCGCAAGCGACAGAAGTAATAAAAACTAGCCAAGTACTACTGTTCACTGCCCTGATTAGCGTGAGAAATTCTAAAGGTCATTACGTCGAAGGGAGAGTATTATTAGATAACGGTTCTCAATCTAACTTCGTCACTGATGAATTTGTTAAGAAACTAAATTTGAAAGCTATAGACGAGCAAGTAGAAATTACGGGGATTAATAGACATGTGTCACAGGCTATTAAATCCGTAAACTAAAATTTAACTTCCCGTTTCGGTACTTTTGGCATGGAACTAGTTTGTATCGTATTGCCTAAAATCACTCAAAAGCTACCAGCAGTAGCAATTGATGCAGACAAGTTGGAATTACCGAAAAATATTAAATTAGCGGATCCTCATTTCAACATACCAGCTAAAATCGATTTATTAATTGGCGCGGAAAGATTCTGGGAGTTAATTTGTGTTGGTCAAATAAAGTTAGGGAAGCATAAACCCGTACTACAAGTCATTGTTAGGATGGTTGGTGACAGGATCCATTGGGGGTTCGAACATAAGGAACGTAACGCGAACGAGTTGCAATTTAAGCGTAACCGAAGAATTAACTGAAACAATGCGTAGGTTTTGGGAGATAGAAAATATTCCGAAAGGAAAACTTAAGGAACCCGAAGAGGATTACTGTGACAAGCATTTCAGTGAGACTTATAGTCGCAAATTAGATGGTAGATTCGTAGTAAAGTTACCGGTCAAGAAAGAAATCATAAATTTATTACACAATTTATTACACAATTTATTACAT